GAATTAATTGAATTACCTCAGAGATGAGTTTGGTCCACTAATTCCATATCGACTTTGGGCTTTAAATAGCATTAAGGACCCATGTTAAAACTCAATTAAAACTCAGGAATGCAGTTTGAACAGAGTAAGGTCACATCTGTGCACAAGGTGGGCTAATGTAATGGGTTCCCTCGACAGGGGTTTCTATCTCACATAATCAGAGCAAAATTGAATCTCAGTTTAATCTGATCATTGACTGTCCCTTCTGTGAGGAAGAACAAGGTGGAATTAATGAACCCTGAGGAGGTCTCTGTAGCCTGTGCAGATACAGGGACCAAGTAATGGAGCTCGTGCTCCTTTGGGGAATACTTGAGTGTGATGCAAGTAGAGGGTGAAAGTGGTTCACACTTTCCAGGGCAGACCCCAGAACCTGCAGCAGGTATTTTTGCAGTTATATTTACCCAACTTTCTTTTCACTGCACAGTAACTCAGAAGTAACCTCCTCAGAGAGGAGTCATGCACCTAGTGCTGTTACCAGGCACAGGGCTTCCTAGAGACTCATTGCAGGGCTTACCTTTTTAATCAAGTCATTATTGCAGGAATTAATAGGGCTTGAAAGATGCCATTAAGGCAGAGCTTTCTGTGCAGTGGTGGTTGTTAGGTGGGGTAGCAGCTGGTAGGAATTGGGTTCAAGTGCTAGAGGGAGCAGGATGAGTGTGAGGAAAGCCTGTGTTTTGGAGTATACCTTGAAATGCAAACTTGTGTGCACTGCAGTTGGATTGCCATCGTGCTTTGGTCCTACTTACAGGTCTTCTCTCCCTATTGAAGTTGTGTTTTAGGAGAACATCTCATCCTTAGATGTTTAAGGGTTAAATGAGCAGCAAGAATTGATAACTTACAGTCAGTGTTGTGCAGAGGACTGTAGTAACTTAAAACCAAAAGTTATCTGTGTAGGTGGGAAATAAGTGATAGCTGAATAATAGATTGTTGGATGAGTTTTTCTCACACAGACTTCAGTGCCTCTCAAAGCTTGTAGTACTGTTTCTTTTACTCACTGAGTTGCTCTATCCCAGGGGGGACATTGCAAGCACAGAAAGCATGGCCTTTTTTTGAGGAGTCCAGGTGGCTGTGGTCACTTGGCTTCTCCTGGTGGTGCCATCTCACCTTGCCCAGGCTGTGCTGACTGCTGTTGATCTCCAGCAGTGGCTCTGGCCCCTCTGCTCCTCTTTGCCTCCTTGCAGGGAGGGTTACTCTCAGCTTTCAGGAGCCTAGTGTGGAGGGGCAGGGCACACTGTTCCTTTCTCCTCTTGTACCTCTTTGGGACCAGTTGCCTTTCCATTTTTGTTTTATTGGTTTCTTCAAAGGCTGCCAGCTGGATCTAGGTAGGTGGAGCTTTTCTCTGCTGCACTCTGCAGAGCACAAGCATCAGTGTGTAGCCATTTAGTCCTGGCAACTGCTTCCTGTTTTTCTAGATGATTCCAGGCAGCTCTTTTTGTGTTTAGCCTATTGTCAAATGCCATCACAAAGACTTGGAGTATTCATCCTGTCATCTGTTCAGCCTGTGGAACTGCTGAGTGGGCTGGTGGTGAATGAGAAGCTGTAGGTACTGGGGGAAAGGGCTGTGGTGAGGAGGCGTGTTGGGAGCACATTCTGAAGTCACACCTTTCCTGGCTGCACTGCTCGGGTGTGAAAATGGCTTTACTGGCTCCAGCCACCACCAGGGACAGGAACATGCAAGTGCAAAGGTCTGGTGGTGGTGGGAAGGCAGGTGGAAGGTTGAACAGGGTGCAGGGATGGGGCTTAGCCCTTCCCTGAATGCCTCTGGGGCTGTCTGTGCGTTGCTGCAGCAAAGGAGGCTCAGAGCAAGGAGGGGGGGTAGGTCCTGCACCTGAGGACGAGGGCAGGTGGAAGGTTGAGCAGGCTGCAGGGATGGGGCTTAGCCCTTCCCTCAATGCCTCTGGGGCTGTCTGTGCGTTGCTGCAGCAAAGGAAGCTTGGAGCAAGGAGGGGGGGTAGGTCCTGCACCTGAGGCCAGAATCTGACACACGGACTAAACCAAAAGGACAGCTCCCAGGGTCATGGGGTCAGGTGAATAAGGATTCAGGCTTCAGTCTTGCAGGCAGGGTCCCTCCCCAGCGAGCAGGAGGTGTCTGCCTCACAGGAGCTGTCTGCCTCACAGGAGCTGGGGCTGTGTTGGGCCTCCTGCAGCAGAGCTGGTTTAACAGTGCTGTGGAACCCAGGCTCCCTGCCCTGCAGGCTGCCCTCACTGGAGCTGCAGCTCTGCTCCCTGCCCTGCAGACTGGTCTCACTGGAGCTGCAGCTCTGCTCCCTGCCCTGCAGACTGCCCTCACTGGAGCTGCAGGTCTCCTCCCTGCTCTGCTCCCTGCCCTGCAGACTGGTCTCACTGGAGCTGCAGCTCTGCTCCCTGCCCTGCAGACTGGTCTCACTGGAGCTGCAGCTCTGCTCCCTGCCCTGCAGACTGGTCTCACTGGAGCTGCAGCTCTGCTCCCTGCCCTGCAGACTGGTCTCACTGGAGCTGCAGCTCTGCTCCCTGCCCTGCAGACTGGTCTCACTGGAGCTGCAGCTCTGCTCCCTGCCCTGCAGACTGGTCTCACTGGAGCTGCAGCTCTGCTCCCTGCCCTGCAGACTGGTCTCACTGGAGCTGCAGCTCTGCTCCCTGCCCTGCAGACTGGTCTCACTGGGGCTGCAGCTCTGCTCCCTGCCCTGCAGACTGGTCTCACTGGAGCTGCAGCTCTGCTCCCTGCCCTGCAGACTGCCCTCACTGGAGCTGCAGCTCTGCACTCTGCTTCTTCGCCAGCAAATTTCATTGGAGAACTTCCTCCTCTGAATGTCTGCTCCCATACTGTGATTCTTAAGTAGTCTGTGTGATTGCCCTTTAATCTGGATCCATTACATGGTACAAGGAGAAGAAGCTATTCCCCTCAAACCTACTCACCCCCCACAAAGTATTTGTTTTTAAAACTAATGATTTCACAGATCTAATTTGGAATGGGCACAGCTGAGGGGGCCATAATGAGTGTATGTAAATTGTGTGATAGGAACTTCTTAAACCAGAGCAGCTGCCAAAGACATCTTAACACAGAGCTTCTGCTGTAACAAGAGACAGCTTGGCAGGCGAGGATCTGCAGCCAAATAGCTGACTCCAGGCTTGTGCTTTCCCACCTGGGCACTCAAATCAGCCCTTCTTAGGCCCTGCAGCTTTTTTGATGCCTCCACACTGAGTGGAGCACCCAGGAGCAGGGAAGGATTTTGAAGGTGAGTAATCTGGAGGAATAAGCTGTGGTGCACTGCACATCTCATAAGTGTGTGTGGGTTTTTAGAGGGCTCAGGGAGGATGGGGAGGGAAAGTTTTGTTGCTGGCCTATACAGATGTGTTTCCAGCCAGACACTGAGCATTAGCAGTGCAGAGAAAAATATGTGTTTGGGCTTTTGGTGCAAAACGGCAACCCAAAAAATCCTCTCTGGTTCTTTCAGCTGGAAAGTGATGCCAGCAGCTGTAGTTTTAGAGAATAAGAAGGCTGGGTTTGTGAGTGTGCATGTGAGATACACCTTTGAATGTGTCTCAAGAAAATCTACCTAGAGAAAACACACAGCACAGAAAGTAGGTCTTACTGCTGTCACTGTTCATTAAAACCAAGAGTGTTGTGGAAATCTTTGTGTGTTTGGGGTGGGTTTGGTTTTTTTTTTTGACAAAGTTTAGATATACCTGTTTCTTCTGATTTCATAGAACCTGGTACAGCATGTGCTGATTTTTCTGGAGTGCCATGAAAGAAGGAATATCTCCAGAAGATGCTGAGGTTTACAACAGCCAGACAAAATGTGCCTGTGTTACCTTTATGGAGATACAGTCAGCCTGGTCTTGCAGAGAGCAAGCACAACTGCTCTCTGCAGGGGTTGTCAGGCTTTTCTCACTTCTTTGTGTGATCTGCTAGATCCTTAGCTAGCTGGAGGGTGACTGTTAGGGCAGGCAGCAGCACTGAAGGCTGAGTGGTGGTATGTTGAAAAGTTGTGCTTGGTGAGGAGATAATTAATGTGATTTATTTTTTTTGCAGTGACCACCCTTAGATACTCTAAAGCACTGACTTGAGCTGGAAGGAAGGGCACCTCTGAAAGGCTGCTGCTGTCCCCTGGGACTGGGCTGGAATAGTGTCCAGTGAGCCCCAAATCCAAAGCTGCTGGGTTTGGTTTTGTTGTTTATTAAAGACAGGCCTTTGTACAGCAGTAATGGAAAATCCTATTTCTGTACCAATAAAAACTTTGCTCCCATGGTTGTTGTTATTGGCCAACTTAGTTGCTTTGGTGTGTATGGAAAAGTATTTACTGGGAAAGGACTGGATGGTTAGCAAGCTTCATCTGTTTTCATTTTGTGTTGATGGCACAGATGTTGCTGTGGGACTTTCTGTTTCATCCTGTGCCCCAGCCACAGGCAGTCCTTCCAGGCTGGTGTCCCTCTTCTGCAGCAGGGACAACCTGTGCCCCTGTTCTTGGCTGCAGCAAGGTGGAGCATGGCCTGGGGGGCATCAGCTTTGTGTCAGTTCCTACTTTACCACCCAGGATGCTGAAACAACGTGGGGTGTGTTTGGTAGCAGCCAGGCTGGACCTTTTTGGGGTGTGGGATATCAACCAGCTGACAGTGGCAGGAACAATAACAAAGAACTTGAGTGCTGCAGAAGGATTAAAAGAAGCTTCTCTAATAAATGCAATTACACAAACATGCCTGAGCCATGTGTCCTATTTAATACCTCCCCAAGAAAAGAGGTGTTCCTCAGGGCACTGCTTTTGTCTGAGTCAAAGATACTGAGGTGCCTCAGGCCTCCTCTCTGCATCCAGAGTAGCTCTGCTGTGCCCTGGGTGGCAACTAATATTGGGCTTCAGATTGCTCAGAAGGACAGTTACTCCTCCAGGGCTGAGTCAGTTCTTTTGCCAGGCAGTGACTTTATAGCTGGCAGAGCCCTTGCTGCCATCCAGACCTCCCAGGCAGCTTTCCTTGCTGGCTGTGGCATGGTGTCTGCCCACAGAGGTGCCTCTGCTCTGTGCTGAGGAGCCTTCTCCATACGTTCTTGCAATTGGGGATCTTCCAGTGGCCCCTCACCACTTCTGGGGAGCACCTTGACAACAAAACCAGCACCAGGCTAAACCCTGTAACAGGCTGTACTTGTTTTCATGTCGGGCCAGTTGGAACTCACACCTTTCATGTGCTTTGTTCTCTCCTGCTGGTGAGTGAATGTTCCAGTTCTGATTTTCATGGGAACAGGACTCAGGATGGAACATCCTACAGGCTCTTCCAGAGCTGCGTGCTGGCAGCTCCCAAGAGACACACTGGAGCTGCTGGGTTGGTAGCTCAGCTCTGGGAACTGGCACTGTTAGCTGGAGACATGCAGCAGCCTCCTCAGTGTGGAGGAGGGAGCTGGTTAAAGCAGATGGACACAGATGTAGGAAATGGGTCCAGATCCATCTGCAGCCTTGCTGGTTCTCAGGCATGGCTTTGACTTTGCTTCTTACTGAGGCAGTGGTGGGGCAGGGGTGTGTCTGATGGAAGGGGACAACCCCAGAGATGGCTTTATGTGATGTGTGGAGAGCACGTTTGTGCTGCCCCAGGGTTGTGTAGCTCTTAATTAGACAGATCACCAGTGGTAGTGGGCCAGGGGGATAAAACTTGGAGTGTTTCTGTTCTCCCTCAAAACTTTGCCTCCTACCTATTAAGGGTATTTAGTCTGAAATCATCTTTCATCTGTAGAGGATGAAGTTTTAAGAAAACCATTTAGTATTCCAAAGTTCCTGGTAAGGTGCAAAGTAAAGGATTAAATGGTCCAGAAAAGCAGCAATTTGCCTTCCCCAGCTGCTCACCCCTCAGTGTATATGTTCCCTGAGGTATTTCATGAAGTAACTTGTGTACAGAGAGCAACTGCACTCTTGCTTATAAGCAGCCAATGTTTAATTCAGTGTGTGCTTGTCAAAGCACATTAAAGATGCAGGTAGCACTTGCTAGGTGTGAGCCAGCTCTTGTAAGCAAGGCACTGGCACGAGGGGCTGTTCCAGACCTGACTCAGATGGGTCCTGCTGGCTATTGCAAGTGTCCTGGCTACCTGGAGTGTCCTGCTGGGCTGGCTTGTCCTACTCTCATCAAAATGCTGCCTTTTCGTGGTGCTGCTTTAAGATCCTGAGGAAACATGGCACAGAGAGGGTGTGCCATGACTGGTGATTATCTGGTCTGGTTTTGCTGCTGTATGGTTCTCCCTTGTCCACGTTCATCTCTATCCAGTTGTGTCTCATCCTGTGCTCAGATCTAGTCTGGTCCTGAAGGTCTCCCTGGCATCAGTGAGAGTATGAAGGCTCACAGACACCTCAGCAAGGTTAAGGCCTTTTGTCAAATCCCTGCAGTAGAGGTTGTGTTCATGTGCACAGCACCTTGCACAAGTAGGTCCCAATCTTTGCTTGGTTCAGCACCCATCCGTGGGTTCCTCCCAAAGGGAACTCAGGTGCCATTGAGTGCAGCAGAGGTGTTTGCAGAGCTGTGGCACTGCACTGGGAGGTCTCTGTGAGCACCTTGGTTTTAGCAGAGAGATTCAAATCCCTATTTGGCAGCGAGGCTGCACCAGGTGAGGCTGAGGCAGTAATGTGAAATTCATTAACAGAACTAAAAGGGTGGAAATAAATATTACTGGGATTGAAGAGAGAAAAGGACATTGGGCTTGTACATCCCTGGAAGTGCTGGGACATTCCCAGTGGGCTGCCAGCACACCTTGTGAGCTGGGGAGGTGTTTGGGCTGCAGGCAGCTGTCCCCTTCCCCTCTGCAGGGCCAGAGCCCTCCGTGAGCATTCTCCTCCAGCCTTCTCTGTGCCCCTCCACCTCCAAGGCTGTAAGGATCTAGATGGGTGTTCTCAGGCCCTGGCTGACAGTTGCTATAACGACCATTAATGAAGTTGATGAGGATGGGTCCTGGTTTAACCTTAGTTCTGCCAACCAGCCAACTGAATTCTGTTTTCTTGCCTTTCAGTCCTTCCAAGGAAGCCAAGGACGAGCATACCTCTTCAATTCAGTGTGAGTATGCCTTCGTACGCGTCGCTCTGCATCGCTTAGGGGAGATGTAAGAAACCCTCATGAGGAAGAAAACAAAAGGTTATTCTTCCTTTAGAAAATCTTGGCCTAAGCCCTGGGAGCTTGCCGAAAACGAGTGGAGAGAGAGGCAGGAAATAGCACTGATTCAGATCTGATTTTATGTCGAGGATTCAGATAATCAGCTAGGGGGAGGTTTTTCGTCATCAGACTGGGGAATGAGAGCTGAGAGCTGAGTCATTCTCTTCTCAGGGAACGTAGCTGGACCAAAGAGTCAAAGTTTTGCAAATGTAGAGGAGAAATGATATCTAACTACAAACTTACTTAATTTTTATGCTAGCTCTAAACAGTATAATTTTCCCAGTAGCTGACTTCTGCTGATATCACTGCTGGGCTGCCTTGCAGAAGAGCTGCTGATTTCAGTGCCATTTTTCCAAGTTGCCATTTGAGAAAGTGAAAGTACCATTTTATCAATTTGAAAATGCAAATCTTTCTCAAATGCCTAATTAGTGCAATTTACTCGAACGTTACTCATCTTCTATTCCAAGCCTTCTGGAATTTTTGGTTGAATAAAAGCTCTACCTTTTCCTTCTGTTCTGGAGCTGCAAGGACCTTTGCTTTGGGCACGGCTGCAGTAGTGTCCTCAGCTCCTGGCTCATGTTTAACACCACCCCATGAAATTGCTGTCAGCTTCGTTGCAGCCTCTTGCTGTGGGCAGACACTAATGGGGAGCATCTCTCCTTTTTCCCCAGAGTTAATGTGGGTTGTGGCCCTGCAGAGGAGCGGGTGTTATTAACAGGATTACATGCGGTTGCAGATATTTACTGTGAAAACTGCAAAACCACACTGGGTTGGAAATATGTGAGTATCAGTATCATTTGTTTTTCCTGGGGACATCTTTGCTCCAGCCCTTTCTGAAGGTGTGTGTGTGGTAACATGGTCTTGTGGAAAGGCCACTAACCTGGGAACCAGAAATGCAGGTTCATGTGCAGACTCCGTGTCTTTTCTCCATCCTGCATTTTCCCCTCCTGTCTTGTCTCTGTGGCATCCATTCAGAGCAGGAGCTCTTTGTGGCTAATGTGGTTTATTTTCACTAAGAATAGACACTGTGGGCCTGGTTTTGGTGGGTGGCCCTTAGTGATATGTAAAGTAAATGAGGATAACTTCAGTCTTGTGGTTCATATTGTATTTTTCCCCGATGATATCAGAATAATAGAATGATCTATAGATTGTTAGTCCTGTGTCCTTCCCACTGGAAATGCTATTGAACATGAGTTTATCTGTTTGCTGTCTCTTGCTCTTGATAAATTCAATTACCTTCAAATAAAGGCTTGTGCTACATCCTGCTTTCTGCTTCAGGAGGCACGCAGTGTGCTTGTTTGTCAAAACATTTTGGCCAGTGTCTGAAAAAACATACAGTTTATCTGTGGCCTCTGGACAGAAATATTCTTTAATACATCAGTTGGAAGGCTATAAAAAGTAAAGCATCAAAAATTGATGCAGTAGGAATTCAGGCAGAAACACAGCATGGTTCACCAGAGGACCTCTGCCTTATTAATGAGCATTAATAAACTCTCAGCTCACCCTAGAGAGAGGTGGATTTTGCTTTTGGCCTACAGAAAGCTGCACATTTACATGGAGCTGATTGTACTTTTTATCCAGCCTGTAAAGACAGCTAGGAGCAGGATTTAAGCTCCTTCCAAGGTAATTTTCCTGAATGCCAACAGGAGGATCTGCAGTTTGACTGTTTTACTCTGTAGACAAGGTCAGGACTTGTACCAGCATTCCTAGAGCTGACCTGTAACTGTCACTTTACCTTCAAATATCACCTTGGTCTCATTCTTTCTCCCTTTATTTCTTTATTTTTTTTTTTAGGAACATGCTTTTGAAAGCAGCCAGAAGTATAAAGAAGGCAAATACATCATTGAACTAGCTCACATGATCAAGGATAATGGCTGGGATTGAGTGGGAAGAGCCCAGCCCTACCAGCGTGTAAGAGAATGCCATCCAACCGAACATTATATCCAAGAGTGAGAGAGTGACTGAACGCTTGGTTCCATGCATTTAGAGGCTCTGCAATTTGGGAGCATCTTCACACCCTTCTCCATCTTTATTGGTGACTGGCCTCTAAATTTCTGTCTCTCTGTCTCTTTGCTTTGTATCTGTTTGTGAGTTGACCCTGGCTGCTTCTCTCTCTGTTCTGGCGTTGGCTCAGAGAATGCACCGAGTGCCCGGCAGCCACTCCACGGTGGGGGATGCTTGAGAACAAGCTGAAGCTGGCTCTGTGGTGGCATTTTCTCAGAAGGTCTCAGTGTGGGAGGAAGACCCGAGTTTTGGGCAGGAGGAGGTGATAGGGGGTGGGTAGTGGGCCCAAGGGGAAGGCACCCGAAGTTGAAGCTGTACTTCTCCTTTAAGTCCTGGTTAACCAAGGCTTGAAACTATCTACTTGTCTGAATGGACAGAAAAATACCTCACAGCTGCGTTCTCTCTGAGTGGTAAAAGCTGCTCCCTGGTGAGCTTCAGGCTGAGCACGAGTCGTAACCAGCTGCCCCCCAAGCCAGTCACAAATCTCTGTTCTGTTTGACTTTGAACTTGCTGTTTGGGGTGGGGGTAGGACCCGAGGCTGGAGGGGTTTCCTGCCTCTCCTTCTTCTCACTGTTTGAGGGTAGGTAGGCCAAACATCCCAACAGAGCATGGCTGTGGGGAGCTTCCTCACAGCTGCAGAAACCAAATCCTGACTCTTGAGCCCTTCAGAGAGGAGGAGAAAACCACTTCAGGCACAAGGGGGCTGGAGCTGCAGCTTAGAACATGCAACAGAGGGGGTAAAAAAAATCCACGTGCTAGGCGAGAAAAGAGGAAATTAGGTAGAGGAGGATGGGGAGAAACTTGGTAACACAGGATTCTGCTTGGTCTCCTGGCCTCCACTGAGCATCCCTGGGGGTCTTTCAGCAATCCTTCACAAGTGCAAGTAGGAAAATGCTGTTACAGAATCTTTTCCTTAAATTCCAGGCCCTGGCCATCAGCTCCACTCTTGGAGCCTGGCAGAGAACTGGTGCAAGAGTGGGGAGAGGAGGGAGCAGAGGAGCCTGGTGGTTGTAGCAGGATTGCACAGGTGGATATTTCAAGCCATGAGGTATCCTCCCCAAAACCTGCCCCACTTTTCCCACTCCCAGAAGCCTGTTACAGGCACAGGGGGAATGGGAAAGGCAAAAGAATTTAAAAATCTTCCCCCTACCCCTGAAACTGTCTATGCCTTGGAGTTTAGAGGGGAGGGGTAGATGTGGGCATCATAACTGCAAGGGACAAGTCCTTCCTGTTTTATTTTTTTTTTAATTTTAATTATTGTGGACCTTCCCAAGGTGATTAGTGGGGAAGGGGCATCGTGTGTGAGAGGGGAGCTGTGTTAGACAATGTGAAGTTTGCTCTGCAACAGTCCAGCCAGTATCTGGTGCATAACTCAAGACTATTTATCTGAATTAGTTTTATCTCTCGGAGTGAATTTTCTTTTTGTCTGTGGAATTCTTTCAAGTAGGTTAATCCATTGGGGGAAATCTTTCTTAATCCAGAAGGAAAGAGTATTGTGCAGGGGTTTGTAGCTCCTTATGAAATGAAGCTTTGGAGCTGTGATGTGTTGTTGCTTGTCCCCAGCCCGGGAGACTCTCAGTGGATCAGGAGAGAGAGCTGGTGCTGAGGAAGTAATTTGCTGTTAAATAAAGGGGGTGTGAGCAGAGGTGCTACTTATGGATCAGGGTGGAAGTGTCATGTTGGCTCCTTGTGCTGAAGCCCAAACCTCATGGCTCATCAGGCTGTTTTTTCTCTTGAACCACTATTCTTTCCAGCCTTGGAGGGAGGAGTGAGCTGGAGGCTGGCTGCAGCTCCTGCAGTGGATGGGGTTAGCTTGGTTTCTGGCCTCTGCCCTCACCCTTTCTGCTGTGGCTGTGTGACAGCTGCCTCAGCTTTCCTTCCTGATTGTCTCTGCTGCCATCACCCACATTCCCTTCAGTGATAAACACCTAGCAGAAATCAAAAGCTCTGCAGTGCTCGCTGTCCTGTTGACTTGGCACTGACCTGGTCCCATTTTCCTGCCCTTTGGTTGGTGATTTGTGACAATTTAGTGGGTTTTGACTAGTGGGCAGTAACTGGTGCTCTTTGAAGAGCTCTTTGGTCTCCCCAGATATGTAATGTTTACAGGGGTCTGGTGGGAGCTGGGGGAAGTAAGGGATGACCCCAAACCTGTAAGAAAAGCACAGAGGGGCTCATGGTTTTATACTGGTATTTAGAGTATTGCCTATAAAAAGTGATACACAGGTCAACCTGTCTGGAAGACTGCTCTGAGAAGTGGGAACAGTTACTGCAGAGAGCTACCAGATGTAAATGTTTTTTATCCATGTATTTGGGACAAGAAAGGATGATGATCCATCAGATCAGGCTGTTTTTAAATGTTCACAGGGGTTACACTTTTAATGGCAACCAGTCCAAGCTTGAACACGACAAGTCTTAATCTGGTTTTAATTGGTTTTGTCCCATCAGCATCCAAGAATTACACATGCTGAGAGTCTGGCCTCAAGCCCTGATAGGAAAAAAGTAGTTGTGCCTGTGAACGTCCCCCACACCCAGAGAGTTCTGTACAGAGTGGCTTTAATACACTGCCCAGGGAGATGAGGAAAAACGGGCTCGTGAGGCTCCGTGGTGTTTGTTCCCTGCTTTGTGTCCCTGGAGCATGAAGTACCTGGTGTGCTGCGAACCCAGCCCTGGCTCGCTGTACTCAGGCACAGGGCAGTGCTGGGAGCTGCTGGCCAGACAGGACCAGCAGGTCTCTGTGCCAGTGGCTCCCACAACCAGCACAGGCTGAACTGCTGACTCCTGGAGTGATCTGTTCAGAGCATAACCAAAGACCCTCCCCATCTGCATCCCTCTGTGTGTGGGCTGGCTGCAGCCCGCGTGTCACGCGCTGGGGCGGGCGAGGGGGGACCCTTGTTCCTGAGCTGGGGACGTGGTGTGGAAGGTGCCTCCTGGGGCAGGCAGTGCCTGAGCACAGGGCACCCAGTGCCCGTGGTGCTGCTTCCATGGGTGACGTCCTCAGCAAAACACAAACAGCAGCACGTTTGGCTTTTTGTTGGTTTGTTTTGTGGCAGCCTTGTCTCTGGCAAGCTGCCTGCACCCCTGAGTTTACACCCCCCACCTACCCCAACACTCAGACTTGAGTAGGTTTTAAATTGTTTTGCTCTGGTGGATTATCTGGTGTGAAATTCTGATCCCTGTATTAAATATTCAGATGGTAATATATACAAAGCAGGAAAAAACAAAGTTATCTTGTGGAATATACTTTTGTAAATAATATTTAATTTTTTTTAAAAAATAATATATTTGGTGCTGTTTTCTCAGAGCCCCCTCCCTGAGAGCACTTTTTTGTTGTTGTTTATAAATGATACTGTTTCCTTCTGTATTTGTTGGAAAATATGTTTAAAGGGAAACAAAACTCATAGTCCACGTTGTCCTCTTGGGTGGATGTGTTTTTCCCTGGCTGTGGCAGGAGAAGGGGAGCAGCTCCTGCAGCCTGGGGCGGGAGGTGGCTGCAGGCACAGGGGGGGAGAGGTTCTGCCTGGCAGCCTGAGCTCCTGCAGGGAGTCCCAGCAGAGCTGCAGGGGCTCCCTCCGGGCACGGCTTCCCTGGGGGAATCTGGTTTGTAGGATCGGGGCCTGAAATTTTCTCTTGCACCAGTATTGGCTGGAATGAAGTAGATCTCGAGGCTTAGGAGAGAGGATTGAGTGTGAGCTGCAGCCTCTGAGTCGCTGCTGCTGCCTGCTTGGGGGCAGCAGGGATGGAGGATGGAGATCTCAAACTAGTCGTCGTTTTTAAACTAAAACGTGAGTCTTTGGAGATGGATCCTGGTTTTCTTTGAGCTGGTTTTCGTTGTTGTTTGTTTTGGGGTTTGTTTGTTTTTTTTTAAAACCAGGCTGCTACATAACAAATTAGAGCAGCCTCTGAGTCGCTGCTGCTGCCTGCTTGGGGGCAGCAGGGATGGAGGATGGAGATCTCAAACTAGTCGTCGTTTTTAAACTAAAACGTGAGTCTTTGGAGATGGATCCTGGTTTTCTTTGAGCTGGTTTTCGTTGTTGTTTGTTTTGGGGTTTGTTTGTTTTTTTTTAAAACCAGGCTGCTACATAACAAATTAGAGTAAAAGTTTACCTCTCTGGCAGTAAAGTTCTTTTTTTTTTGTTTGTTTTCCTTTCTGTCTTTAACCTCCCCCCTTCTCCCCCTTCTTCATGTTTAATCCACTGGGTCTCTTGTCTATCCCAAAGCGGACCAACAGCACAAACCACTGGACTGTGTTGTGCTGAGCAAGGAGCTGTTTCAGTGCTGAGTAACTGTTGCACGCTCTTTAATTCTCTGGTTTTGGTGCACACGATTTAGAAATATACAGAAAAACAAAAACCAACACAAAAACCACCCTGGGAGGGAGCGGGCGAGAGG